ATGTTTCATTTGACAAAATTATTACCACACCTTTTATTATTGTGTACTTTAACGGGAATTATTACTACACATTGTATTACTGTCTACTTTAACGTGAATTATTACCACATCGTGTATTATTTATTTTAATGTGAATTATTGCCATAAATGTTGGGAATAATTTATCTAGTGTTAAAAAGTTTAATCCATAACACTATCTAAAGAACGTTGTGAGTCTAGTTTCTGAAAATTACAGGGAATTTAAAATCATCATTAAATATTTAAAAGAATAATGCTGCTAAAATAATCTTACCAGTCCGGGTACTGGATTCGTTATGTTCGTCTAACAGATCCACAACTAACACCTGGATGAATTTATTGTGCATAATAAGGCATCAAATTAAGATAGTCTTGTTAACTAATGTGCAACAACTCCCCAAGAGGTCGCAAACAGCTGTCAAACTTGCTATTCACACGAACAAACATTAACAGGTCAGGAATAAATTACTGTAAACGTCTATTCACCAATATTGTCTTAACGTATTCATTGTGTTCTTCAGACTGACGTTGAAACCGGTAGGTTATTCAGTGCAAAACACTGAAGTATATATATATATATATATATATATATATATATATATATATATATATATATATATATATATATATATATATATATATATATATATATATATATGTCGTACCTAATAGCCAGAATGCACTTCTCAGCCTACTATGCAAGGCCCGATTTGCCTAATCAGCCAAGTTTTCCTGAATTAATATATTTTCTCTAATTTTTTTCTTATGAAATGATAAATCTACCCTTTTCATTATGAATGAGGTCAATTTTTCTTTATTGGAGTTAAAATTAACGTAGATATATGACCGAACCTAACCAACCCTACCTAACCTAACCTAACCTATCTTTATAGCTTAGGTTAGGTTAGGTAGCCGAAAAAGTTAGGTTAGGTTAGGTAGGTTAGGTAGTCGAAAAGCAATTAATTCATGAAAACTTGGCTTATTAGGCAAATTGGGCCTTGCATAGTAGGCTCAGAAGTGAGTTCTGGCTACTAGGTACGACATATATATATATATATATATATATATGTCGTACCTAATAGCCAGAACGCACTTCTCAGCCTACTATGCAAGGCCCGATTTGCCTAATAAGCCAAGTTTTCCTGAATTATTATATTTTTTCTAATTTTTTTCTTATGAAATGATAAAGCTACCCATTTCATTATGTATGAGGTCAATTTTTTTTTATTGGAGTTAAAATTAACGTAGATATATGACCGAACCTAACCAACCCTACCTAACCTAACCTAACCTATCTCTATCGGTTAGGTTAGGTTAGGTAGCAGAAAAAGTTAGGTTAGGTTAGGTTAGGTAGGTTAGGTAGTCGAAAAAACATTAATTCGTGAAAACTTGGCTTATTAGGCAAATTGGGCCATGCATAGTTGGCTGAGAAGTGCGTTCTGGCTATTAGGTACGACATATATATATATATATATATATATATATATATATATATATATATATATATGTCGTACCTAGTAGCCAGAACTCACTTCTCAGCCTACTATGCAAGGCCCGATTTGCCTAATAAGCCAAGTTTTCATGAATTAATGTTTTTTCGTCTACCTAACCTACCTAACCTAACCTAACCTAGCTTTTTTTGGCTACCTAACCTAACCTTACCTATATATATAGGTTAGGTTAGGTTAGGTAGGGTTGGGTAGGTTCGATCATATATCTACGTTAATTTTAACTCCAATAAAAAGAAATTGACCTCATACATAGTGAAAAGGGTAGCTTTATCATGTCATAAGAAAAAAATTATAGTAAATATATTAATTCAGGAAAACTTGGCTTATTAGGCAAATCGGGCCTTGAATAGTAGGCTGAGAAGTGAGTTCTGGCTACTAGGTACGACATATATATATATATATATATATATATATATATATATATATATATATATATATATATATATATATATATATATATATATATATATATATATATATATATATATATATATATATATATATATATATATGTCGTACCTAGTAGCCAGAACTCACTTTTTGGCCTACTATTCAAGGCCCGATTTGCCTAATAAGCCAAGTTTTCATGAATTAACTGTTTTTCGACTACCTAACCTAACCTAACCTAACTTTTTCGGCTACCTAACCAAACCAAACCTATAAAGATAGGTTAGGTTAGGTTAGGTAGGGTTGGTTGGGTTCGGTCATATATCTACGTTAATTTTAACTCCAATAAAAAAAAATTGACCTCATACATAATGAAATGGGTAGCTTTATCATTTCATAAGAAAAAAATTAGAAAAAATATATTAATTCAGGAAAACTTTGCTTATTAGGCAAATCGGGCCTTGAATAGTAGGCCAAAAAGTGAGTTCTGGCTACTAGGTACGACATATATATATATATATATATATATATATATATATATATATATGTCGTACCTAATAGCCAGAACGCACTTCTCTGCCTAC